GGCTCCAGGCTCTGAGCCAGCTGTCAGCACAGAGCCTGATGTGGGGCTTAAACCCATGAACTGTGAGATCATGACCTGAGCCAAAGTCAAGAGTTGGATGCTTTACCAATTGAGCCACCCAGGCGCCTTGTTTTTTATTTTTTTAAGTAGGCTTCAGGCCCAGCACAGAGCCCAACGTGGGGCTTGAACTCACAATCCTGAGATCAAGACCTGAGCTGACAGCAGGAGTCAAACGCTTAACCAACTAAGCCACCCAGGTGCCCCACATGTCATTTCCTTTTTCTCAAAATTTCTGCCTGTGCCTTCTGTGGCATTGATGGCAGGCCGTGTTCCACTCATTACACCTCCTTCTTAGCCTTCTTGCTGCTTTCTTGCTCTTGATTCAATGATTCAATTCTTGAGTCCCCATGGACCTCCTCACCCTGTAGGAGGGACCTCTTGGCTTGTCCACATTGCAGGAAGCCCACCTCATGGGTGACTGGGTGGACTGTAGCCTCTCATCAGAGGTCTTGGAGGATGTCCTGTGTTCTGATGCACATGAGAATCACTGTCCTGTCTCCCCTGATTTGGTGCATGTGTTGTGCCCCCAAAGCAAGCCACATCTATACCCTGAGTGTGCTCACATCAGGTTATGCTCATGCATCTTACTTATGTCCTTTTAATGTCTTCTTAGTAGACAAAGCAGCAGAATTTTCTTCCTGGGATTCCACATCATTCGTCCAGCATGGTCATTGTGAGATCTTTGTTGTAGCACATACAGATGCTTTGGGACAGGGAAAGCCATTGGAGCTGTTTGGCCCTGGGATTCCTGTGCTTGGTGAGAAGAAGGAGCAGACGCAGTGGCAGGGCTCTTTTTGGTGGATATTCCCCTGTGTTGCAAGTAAGTGCATGGCTGATAATTAAATGACGAGAAGAGGAGACTCTGTGACAGTGGTGACTTCTGCAATCTAGGGCCTTTTATTTGATTTTTCTATTACCAGAATTTGCTTTAGAAATACTAAGTTTAGTGTCTATGAGCTACATGGAACTAGCATTGCCTGTTTCTTTTTTTTTTTTTTTTTTTAACAATTGTTTATTTTGAAAGAAAAAGAGAGCGTGTGAGCAGGGGAGGAACAGAGAGAAAGAGAGTGAAAGAGAGAATCCCAAGCAGTCTTCACACTGTCAGCACTTGAACCCACGAACCATGAGATCATGACCTGAGCTGCAGTCAAGAGTGGGACACTTAACAGAGCCACCCAGGTGCCCCTACCCTGTTTCTTATTGATGAAAAATTAGAGAATTTTGATTCTTATAGAATTAATAATTCCAGCTCTTATTTTTTAAATTTTGTAATAGCTTTATTAAGATCTTAATTCACATACCGTACAATTCGCCCATTTAATATGTACAGCTCAGTGGGGTTTTTAGGATATTCCCCAAGTTGAAGCAATTTTAGAACATTTGCATCACTCTGGAAGGAAATGCCATATCCATTAACAGTCACTCCCCATTTCTTTCTGGTCTCTCCAGCCCCTGGCAATCATTCATCTTTCTCTATGGATTTGCCTATTATCCATTTCATTTGAAAGGGATCATATAATAAGTGGCTTCTTTAATTTAGCATAATGTTCTCAAGGTTTACCTGTGTCTTTTGGTTTCTCCTTACTCTCTGGGGTGGTTCATTGTTCTGTTTATAGTCTGTCTCCCATCTCTGTAATAGGGGAATGGTTTATAGATAGATATGCTGAAGGGCAGCAACAACAAAGTATTTCTTTCTTTTTTTTTTTTTTTGATGTTTATTCATGTTTGAGAGGCAGAGACAGAGCATGAGTGGGTGAAGGGCAGAGAGAGAGGGAGACACAGAATCTGAAGCAGGCTCCAGGCTCTGAGCTGTCAGCACAGAGCCCAACGCGGGGCTCGAACTCATGGACTGTGAGATCATCACCTGAGGTGAAGTCAGATGCTTAACCAAGTGCGCCACCCAGGCACCCCAACAGCAAAGTACTTCTAGACAAAGACCATCCCAGGGCTTCAGGTGTGCTTCAGTTGTAGTTACTTAAAGTAGATGGTTTTTGATCAAACTGTATTAGTTATCTATTGCTGCAGAACAAATTACCCCAAAACTTGGTAGTTGAAAGCACCATTTTTTACCTCGCAGTTGCTGTGGGGCAGGAGTCTGAGCACAGCTGAGCCGGGTCCCCTAGGTCTGGGTCTCACCTGGCTGCAGTCCTCTCCAGCTTGCACTAGGAAAATCTGCCCTGGCTTGCTCACGTGGTTGTTGGCGTGATTCAGTTCTCTGCAGGTCTCACTCAATTCCCTGCAAGTGGTTGGCCAGAAGCATCTCTAGGTTCCTTCCCGAGTGGGCATCTGTATAGAGTAAGTCCCCTCATGTCAGCTGGCTGCATTAGAGCAAACAGGCAAATGGGCAAGGGAGGAGGCCAACAAGATGGAAGACACAGTCTCTCATAACTTGATCAGAAGAGTGACAGTTGTTATAATCTATGTATTAGAAGCATGTTACCAGATCTGCCACACACTGAGGGGATGAGATTATACAGGACGTGGATACCAAGAGTCAGGGATCGTTGAGGCCATTATCAGTTCATGTTGGAGAAGTGGATTGTTGCTTTCCTTGGCTTTGGAAGTGCTTTGGGAAAAAACGCATCTGAAGTGCCCTTAGGAATATGGTAGAATTCCCTAGCATAGATGCACTAATAACTTACTAGCAATTCACTTGTGAAACTTTTCTACCAAATAGGTAGGTCTTTTCTCCCCGAGATGGCATAATGACATTCAGGCCCCATTTCCCTCATTTTTGTCTTACTACCTTTTGACCAAACAGATTCTTCTTTCCTTGTTCACCACCTACCCCACCTTCCATCTTTGTCTCTGTGAATATTTTTTTTTTATAAATATTTTTATTTATTTCTAGGAGAGAGAGAGAGACAGCGTGAGCAGGGGAGGGTCAGAGAGAGAGGGAGACACAGACTCTGAAATAGGCTCCAGGCTCTGAGCTGNGTGTAACAGAAGTAGAAACCATAATTAAAATTTCTCCAACAAAATCAGAGTCTATAACTCCAGGAATTATGGTTAGGCCTCTTGGCCTGTGCTGCTGCAGCCCAATATGAAGCCAAAGGTGCCTTTAGGCAATGGGCCAAATATGTTTGTTCTTTTTTTTTAATGTTTTTTATTTATTTCTAGGAGAGACAGAGAGAGACAGCGTGAGCAGGGGAGGGTCAGAGAGAGAGGGAGACACAGACTCTGAAATAGGCTCCAGGCTCTGAGCTGGCAGTCAGCACAGAGCCCGACGCGGGGCTCGAACCCACAAACCGCGAGATCATGACCTAAGCGAAAGTCGGACGCTTAACCAACTAAGCCACCCAGGCGCCCCTGTCTCTGTGAATATTTGCTGACAGTTGCTATTCCTTCCTTTTGCTTTCAGTTTGTTTCGACAGAACCCTGCTATGCCTGTTTAGTTCTTTAGGTCTTTTGAAATTTGTCCCTTTTTAGATTTTTCCTTCACTGTGATGGTTCTCTACTTCCTTGACTTTTATTTTTTTTTGGTACTGAAATAGTTTGAACTGTATCTGCTGTTCTTGTACAGAGAACAGGTTGATAAGGTGAAATCATATCCATTATTCCTGATAGAACCTTAAAGAAAAAGCCCATAAAATATTTCAAAAATGCAGAAAGAACAGAGAATAGTACAATAACAGAATGGAACACTCATGTACCCTCCACATGGATTTATAAAGTGTTAACATTTGTTTGTTTTTCTTCCCTTAAGATTTTTAAAGAACTTACTTGTTGACAGTTTGTTTATCCGTTCAAATGCTGTGTTGATGGATGTGTTGCTTATTTGCTACTTTCATGAACAGTGTCACAGTGAAGGTTTCTGGCGCTCCTTTCCTTGTGCAAGAACTTTTCTATTACTTTGAGACTAAACTTCTGCATGATTGATAAGCAAACTGAACGCATGATAAACTCTTGTAATATGTTGGCAGTGCAGTGTTGCAGCCATTTTTAATAACATGTGAAATAGGGGAAAATGGTTTTTGTGACTACTCTAGTAAAAGGCGAAAGATTTATGCGATCTGAAGAGAAACCAGAGTATTGTGACTACTCTTTAGATGGAAAAATGTTAACTTGTGCTGCCTTGCATCTTTGGATTGATACTAGTGTACATTTTCATTTCACAATGGGTATTTGTATGACTGTAAGAAAACTAATGGAATGGATATTGGTATTAGTAGCAAAAACTGCTTTCATATGGTAATTTAAGAAAATAGCCATTACATACTTTGTAAAATTTTCTCTGGTATTATTTATTCCTACTTAGGCATAATCAGCCAAACCCATATTTATTATTCTTTGTGTCTTATTAATCTCTAAGCAAGAATTTTTTTAAAGCTTTATTATGGAAAATTTTAAACACCCACAAAAGTAGAGAAAATAATACTGTGAATACTCACGTACACATCACCCAGGTTCCATACAATTGACTTTCTTTTGAATAAAATTTTCAACTGTGATGCTAACATTAGTTTTATATTTACAATGTGCTGTATTGTAACACGCAGTATTAACACTCACTTGGAGAATTATTTCAGTATTCCTGGGAGGTAAGTGGTAGTTGTTGAGAAGATTTATTATGCATTTCAACACAGCATTGCTGATCTTTGGGTGGCTTGTGGAGTTTCTCCTCTCAATCAGTCGATCAGGCTAATGGTCTAAATGGCCAGTCTTCTTTCTCACAAAGACAGACTTATGTTTACATAAGTTACGTTTATGTTACAAAAACATAAGTTTTATAAAAAATGTGACCTAAACCCTTCAGAACGCTTTGATAGAAGTAGTTAAGAAACTATTCCAAACATTCAGAGGACCGTTTTTAAAATGAAATACACAGGCCAGCTAGTAATATCTTCTGGTACTGCAACATTTATGGGACCATAGATCTAGAGACTATAATTAACTGTGTGAGCTGTACCTCATGGGCTTCTTGTCTGCTTGAATTCCAGATAGCGGTGGTCATGGGCTCCTGTACGGCAGGTGGCGCTTATGTGCCTGCAATGGCTGATGAAAACGTCATTGTGCGCAGGCAGGGTACCATTTTCTTGGGAGGACCCCCATTGGTAAGAACATAGCTTTGATTGATTGACTGATTGAAGTAAAATATGCCTAATATGAAATTTACCATTCTAACCATTTTTAAGGGCACAGTTCTGTGGCATTAAGTATATTCACTTTGTTGTGCAGCCATCTCCACCATCTACCTCCAGCACTGTCTCATCTGCTCCAGCTGAAAATCTGTACCCAGTAAACACTTAACTCCCTACTCTCCCCAACCTCCACTGCCCCTGGCTACTCCAGTTCTACTTTTTCTAGGAGTTTGACTACTGTAGGTACCTTGTTCAGGAAAGAATCATACAATATATATCCTTCTGTAATTGGCATATTTGACTTAAGATAATGCCCTCAAGATTCACTATGCTGTTGCATATGTCAGAACTTCCTTTTTAAGGCTGAATAATATTCCATTGCATGTATATACCATTTTGTTTATTCAGTCGTCCATCAGTGGACTTTTGGGTTGCTTCCACTTGAGGGTGTGGTGAATAATGCCACTGTGAACATGAGTATACAAATATATTTGTTTGAGTGTCATGCTTTCATTTATTTTGGGAGTATGCTCAGAAGTGGAATTGCTGGAACATGTGTTTAATTTTTTGAAAAATCATTTCTTTCTATTGCTGAATAGTATTTCATTGTATGGATAGGCTGCATTTTGTTTATCCATTTGTCAGCTGATGGTCATTTGAGTTGTTTCCAGTTTTTGTATATTATGAATAATGTTGCCATGCACATTCACATCCAGGTTTTTTTTTAAGTTTATTACTTATTTTGAGAGAGCGAGCGCGCGCACACACCTGAGCAGGGGAGAGGCAGAGAGGGAGAGAGAGAATCCCACACAGGCTCCGTGCTCTCAGTATGGAGCCTGATGCGGGGCTCCAACCCGTCAACCGTAAGATCATGACCTGAGCTGAAATCAAGAGTCAGACGCCTAACTGACTGAGCCACCCAGGCGCCCCTACATCCAGGTTTTTGTATGGATATGTTTTCCTTTATAATGGTTATGTGAGTACAATTGCTAGGTCACATGGTAACTCTGAGTTTGACATTTTGAGGAACTACTGACCTGTCCAGAGCATATTTTACATGCCTGGCAGCAGTGGGCGAGGGTTCTGATTTTTCCGTTTCTTTGCTCACAGTTGTTATTGGGTATCTATTTGATGATAGCCATCCTAGTGGTTACCTCCTTGAGGTTTTGATTTGCATTTCTCTAATGGTGAGTCATGGTGAGTATCTTTCATGGACTTGCTGGTCATTTGTGTATCTTCTTTGGAGAAATATCTATCCAGATCCTTTGCCCATTTTTAATTTTAATTTTTTAAGTTTATTTATTTTGAGAGAGAGAACATGCAGCATGTGTGTACATGTGCACAGAGGAGGGGCAGAGAGAAAATCCACGCAGGCTCTGCACTGTCAGCCGAGAGCCCGAAGTGGGGCTTGAACTCATGAACCATAACATCATGACCTGAGCTGAAACCAAGAGTTGGACTCCTAACTGACTGAACCAACCAGGCGCCCCAAGATCCTTTGCCCATTTTTTAAATTGGGTTATTCGGCTTTATTGAGTTGTAAGAATTCTTTATATATTCTACACACAAGTCTCTTTTCAGATATGTGATTGTACATATTTCCTCTCTACGGATTGTCTTCACTTTCTTGATGGTGTCTTCCTTTGAAGCATGCACATTTTTAATTTTGATCAAGTCCACTTTATGTGTTGCTTTTCTCTTTTTGCTTGTGCTCTTGATGTCACCTATGTGATGGCTTTGCCTATTGCAAGATCATGGGGATTTAATACTTTGGTTTCTTCTCAGTTTTATAGTGTTAGCTCTTACTTTTAGGTTTGTAATCCATTTTGAGTTAATTTTGGGTAGGACATAAGGAAGGACATTGTTTTGTATGTGGATATGCAATTGGCGCAGGATCCTTTGTTGAATGGCTGATGAAATGGCTGATGAAATCTTTTGTCTTTTTTTTTAAATGAGCCAATTAATTCATTCAACACGAGTTTCTCAAGCATACTGCTTTTTACAGAGAGAGAGTAGGGGAGGGGCAGAGAGAGAGGGGGAGAGAATCCCAAACAGGCTCCATACTGTCAGCATAGAGTCTGATGTGGGGCTCGAACTCACAAACTGAGATCATGACCTGAGCCCAGATCAAGAGTCAGAAACTTAACCGACTGAGTTACCTAGGTGCCCCACTTATTTTTTCTTCTATATCAGTTGCAGTGCAGTTTGACTCAGGGTCAATAACAAGCTGATAGATTGTTAAGTGAAAAAAACACCAAGGTGCTTGCACATATGTCGACTTTTTTGTAAAATGGGGGAAATTATACATGTATGCATATGTATAAATGTGCATATGCATATAGTGTATTTGCATATAGAAACTCTGGAAAAGATACAGTAAACATAGTTTAAACACAGAGGAAATGGAACAGGGTGGGAAAGAGACCTTTGAGTCTTTTTTCTTTTCTTTTTTCTTTTTTTTGCTGCACATAAACATTTTGAAACCTTTGTCTGAGCCTTGTGAAAGTACTACTTTTCAAAAAGGTTAAGTTTTTATAAAAAGGAACAGTGTAGAATAGCTATGAGAGGTGCTCTAGATTTCTAATACTAGCAATCTTTATGAATAACTAGTAGCACCAGCTATATAATTTGCAGACCTCAGTGCAAAGTGAAGCTATGGGACCCCTTGTTCAAAAAGGAAGAAAGAAATACTAAAATATAAAACATTTTCCTCCTGTGGTACCTTTACCTGTCATGGTGGTTTTTATTTGCTATTTAAGGACCTGCTCTGTCAAACATGGAATACACCCCTTCTCGGGCATTTGTGCTTCCAGTGGGCCCACCATTCACCTCCTGGTGGACATATGACCTCCAAGGGTATGCAGCCTCCACTCCAGGAAGTGCTTGGTAACCAGATGGGCAGAGGCCAAAGGCTCTCCCTTAGCTCCCACCTCCACTGAGTCATCTGCTAGAGAATACACCTCAGCACCGCCAGCCCAGGATCCTGATGGTGCTGCTGGGCTCCACCCTGAGGCACCAGGGGGTGCACGCCTGACCCCCCATTCTTCCTGTGCTCATGCCAGTCACTAGGTGGGGGTGGGGAGGACCAGAGAGGGCAGAGCTCAGGGCCCACGCACCAGGTGTCAGGGAAGCAGGGAGCCAAGAACCCCTCCCAACGAGGTGGTGGTAGGCAGACCAGGCAAGAGCTCTGAACCCCAGCACATAAGTCCCATCACTCTTCATTAACAGAATGCAAATTCAAAGATAAAATTAGAATTTCAGGGGCATCTGGGTGGCTCAGTTGGTTAAGCATCTGAATCTTGATGTCAGGTGATATCCTGATCTCATGGTCATGGGACCTGCTTAAGATTCTCTCTTCCTTTGTCCCTCTCTCGCTCATGTGTGTATTCTCTCTCTCTTTCTCTCTCTCTCAAAAATAAGTAAATAAAAATCAATAAAATTAGAATTTCAATAAGGTAACCACTGAGCATTAAGCCCTGAAGCACAGGGCCCTTCTGAGAGTGAGGCTCCCGGGCACCCTTACTGGCCATCTGCCTGTGATGCAGGACTGAGGAGTAATGTCATCCTAGGCTCTTGTCCGTTCCCTCTTTAATCAGCTCCATTCTGGTGTTGTTCGGTGATGCAGTCTTCACTCTGCTGTGCTTGTGTCATGATCTGGCCCCAGGCTTCAAAGGGATAAAGAGAGGGTAGGTGAAGACACAGGTGATTACTACACCATACAACAAAATGTCCCATGATTTAAGTGAAATCTAAGAATATTATATAAGTAAGAGGAAGAATGTTGAGGATATTCTAGAATTGAAATATCCATACAATGGAATATTCTGATATATGCTACAACATAAACCTTGAAAACATTGTGTCAGATACAAAATGAGAAGCATTGGGGCGCCTGGGTGGTTCAGTCGGTTAAGTGACCGACTTCGGTTCAGGTCATGATCTCACGGTTTGCGGGTTCAAGACCTGCGTCGGGCTCTGTGCTGACAGCTAGCTCAGAGCCTGTAGTTTGCTTCAGATTCTGTGTCTCCCTCCCTCTCTGCCCTTCCTCTGCTCATGCTGTCTCTCTGTCTCTCAGAAATAAATAAAACATTAAAAAAAATTAAAAAAAAAACAAAATGAAAAGCATTATATAAGTCTGCTTCTATGAAATATTTAGAATAAGCAAATTCATAGAGACAGAAAATACATTGGTGGTTTCCAGGGACCAAGAGGAGGGTAGAATGGGGACTGTCTATAATGAGCATGGGCTTTCTTTAGGGAGCGATGAAACTTCTAGAAGTAGGTGGTACTGATGGCTCCAAAGTCTCGTGAATACACTAAAAAACAATGAATTTTATTCTTCCCATGTGAATTTTGTGGTATGTGAATTCTCTCTCAGAGAGTAAATTTATTCCTTTAAAATTCTGTCCAAAAAATCATCTTTGGTTTTGGAATAGTAACACAAATTTATTAAAATGAGTATGTTAAAAACAACATGCACTTGCTTTGATGTGAAATACGTGTGTTTTCCAAATGATTGTGTTCATTTTTAATAAATTTTATTAAGGATCCAGTAAGCCTGAAGAGCCGCTATTTTTTTTTAATATATATTTTTTTAATGTTTTACTTATTTCTAGGAGAGAGAGAGAGAGACAGCGTGAGCAGGGGAGGGTCAGAGAGAGAGGGATTCACAGACTGAAACAGGCTCCAGGCTCTGAGCTGGCAGTCAGCACAGAGCCCGACGCGGGGCTCGAACCCATGAACCATGAGATCATGACCTAAGCGAAAGTCGGACGCTTAACCGACTAAGCCACCCAGGCGCCCCTGAAGAGCCGCTATTTTAAATGTGATAAAAGTCTCAAGGCGTTATTCCAAAGGCTTATGATCTCAACCATTCTTTCATATTTTCCTGGCTGTATGTGATACCTATCACTGGTTAATGAGAGAATTCATTCACAATTTACCTTTGTCTAGTGAAGGGTACAGACTTTGAGTAGTTTGTGTGTGTTTTTCCTTAAAGAGCAAGTAGAGGATGTTAGGCGGTATGAGAACAGTGGAAGGACACTCGCTGTTTGCAAGGAAGCCTGTGTCTAATGAGCAGTTGCAGCGCCCTCCAGCCACTGGATTCGGATTCACCTTGTGCCTCAGCCGGGAGCAGCGAGGCAGCCGAAGTCCGCAGTTCTCTTAGCTCAACTCTGTCCTCTAGTCTCCCACTGAAAGACATGGTTACAGGTTTAAAAAAAAGCAGCAGCTGTAGCCTCATCTGCTTGAGAGTTCTAAATTTGACACTTGTTTTACTAAAAGTTGAAAAAGATTTCAAGCATAATGTGGAGTTGAGTTGCTACAGCTTTTAGTCACTTAACGTGGCTGGAGAAATGCATAATAATAAGACAAGTTTTTTGAAGGATCTTTTTGTTCTTTTGTCTCCTGAACTTTATGTTTAGTAGAATGAGCCGTTTTTGATTTTTATCATCTTTGCACCTGTCATAGTATCAAACATGTTGTGGGTGTTCAGTAAATATTAACCAGTGACGAATTCTTATTTTATCAGTTGATATTAGTCAGAGCCCTGGAAATAAATAGAGCATATCGGTTGTTATTCCTTTTTTACAACTTTAAAATATCCAAACAGCTCTTATAATTAGTTATGGTCTGGGCTGAATGCTGTTTTACACTGAATATTTTGGGAAGAAGAGAACTAAGAATTTAGTCCTGTGGGTGGAATAATTGGAGGTGAAAATTTTAATTACTCTTCCCTGTGCAATAATATTTTATTTAAGACAGAGCTTTTTTAAAATGTTTATTTATGTATTTTGAGAGAGAGAGAGAGAGTGCGTGGGAGCATGAGCAGGGGAGAGGCAGAGAGAGAGAGAGAAAGAGAGAGGGAGAGAAAGAATCCCGAGCTATCAGCGCAGATCCCACGAACCGTGACATCGTGACCTGAGCCGAAACCAAGAGTCGGAAGCTTAAGTGACTGAGCAACTCAGGTCCCCCAAGACAGGAGGTGAATAAGTCCTTGCTACACTGCAGTTTAGATAAATGTTCATTATTCTAATGAAAGTTTTTCCTATTTGAGGAAAAATCAGTCAACTCAAACGGGTAGGAATCAATAAGTAATTCCTAAGGGATCATGTTGACGTTTAACACCAAATAATTTTTCTTTTTTTCTCTGTTAGAGTTTCTCAGGCTATAATTAAATCATTCATAATTTATTGCTTGAGGCTCCTTTCTTTTTGGTCATATTCTGCTGAATCTTAGATATGAGTAATCTTAGAGACTTTTTTTTTTGTCCTCTTAAAGGTGTTGTACCTTGAAGAGTTTAGAATAGTTACTGGAATTTTTCAGGATAGGCCAAAAATGTCATTAGTTCATTAAATTTATTGAGCATTCAGAGACAAACACAGTCACAGTTCCTGTCATCAAGGAATTCACAGTATAGAGGAGACAATAGAGACGTGCAGATTACTGACAGATGGTCTGATAGGTGCCCTGTGGCAGGTGTATGGGGAGTATTCTTCCACCACAGATGAACAAGTGTTGTTCTTTTAGCACAGTGGAGAGTCATTAATGATGAAAAGGCCCGGGCAGGTCAGGAGAAGCCACATAGAGCAGCTGGGCCTAAGGATGAGGAGGGACTCCTCAGGTGAGTGACAGGGGAGCAGGGAGCCCAGGCAGTGGGAACAGCATATGCACAGACACAAATGCTTTAACTTGCATAGGTTAGGATAAGGAAAGTGGACTTTCAGGCCAGAAATACCTCGATTCAACTCAGGTTCTGTCACTTGCTCAGGGGCTCTGGGGAAATTTCTGTGACTCTGGGTTCAGATTTTTCATCTGTAGACTAGAGACCATTTTATGTCGGTTTGCTAGCTGGGCGGAATAAGAAAACAAAGTCTTTAGCTCTGTGGAAGAAAGAGTGGTAGCTCTAGTCAGGTTAGAAGACGTGCATGTTAGGTAAGCATTGGTATTTCCGCAGGGGACAGAACTCACCACCGACTTTTATCCTTGCTCTAGGTTAAAGCCGCAACTGGAGAAGAGGTCTCAGCTGAGGATCTTGGAGGGGCCGATCTGCACTGCAGGTGAGACAGGCTGTTGTTTCTTTCCAGGATTCACTGTGGCCTGTCTGTCCGTTGTAAGAGAAAGTATAATTATTTTTTCTTTCCAGGATTCACTGTGGCCTGTCTGTCCGTTGTAAGAGAAAGTGTAATTATTTTTTCTAAGAGTTAAACTTGCCGGATCTAACCACAGTCCACTGGTTCTCAGGTTGCTGCTTTAGGGTTCAGTTCTTTGAACTGTAGAGTTGTATTTCTAAGCTACAATATCAGCTTTTTCGTTATAGCCTAGAAAGACTAGAGAGACAGGTTTCTCATTTCTTTAACAAACATTCTTCAAGCACTGGTTATGTGCCAGACACCATTGTAGGTATTCAAGATAATGAGGTAGACATTGTTTTTGACCTCTAGGAGCTCATTAACATTCCAGTCAGGGGGGTGGGTGGTAAGTAATTACCAAACAGTGATATAAATGTGTACATGTGCTAAGGTCTACAAAGCAGTATATGGAGAGCGTAGAGGAGGTGGAGCTAACCCATTGCCTTGCAGGCATTGCAATTATGTGAAATTAATATTTAAGTGGAGCTCAGGGTGCTGGTTGGTGAGCTGTGATTCAACAACAGACCGCAAGAGAAATTGAAATGGACAAGTGCATGACTCACAGAACCTGCAAGACATGCCTCGAGGGGCCACGCTGGGAGCTGCTGGCAGAACCCCGGCACGTATTTTCCTTAGGGTCCGTGGTGGGAGCACTTTGGGGTTCCCAGACTAGGGCTAGTTTAGTCCATGCAAACCAAAAGATGGAGGTTTTGTTCAGTTCCATTTGGATCTTTAAGGAGCACGTAAGGTATGCGGGAAGGAGCTGGTAGGCAGGGGCCACTGTTGATCATGAGGGTTCCTGGGAAAGTCACATGGGGACTCACACCTGCTTGTGGTCTGTGGCTGCTGTCCAGGGCATGTGCTCTCATGAGCGTGCCGGAACGAGTTTAAGGTTCCTGCAGGCCACTCAGCTAAACGAAGTAGACGCTGAGGCAGCCATTCACCCTGAGGTAGCTTAGCTAAGCTCTCCATAGCAGTAGGTGCATGACAGCTGGGTCTCTGGGGAGGACAGAAGCCCCACCTTGTGGCCTCTGCCAATGCCTCTGGTATAAATTATCCCACCGAGGCTGACTGCAAAGTCCCGAGAGGACACTGAGTGTGGTGTCAGGAAGAGGTGCACACATTTGGCTCTTGTGAGTCAGTTGTGAGCTGGCTCCACCATGTCACTGGTCCAGTCATTTCCAGTTAGAGTTCAGGGGTCAAAAGACCATCTGCCTCCTAGAGTTCTGTGAGGATTAAATGAGATGATACATAGAAATTGCTTGAAAAGATACTTTATTTTTTTAAATAGCTTATTGTCAATTTGGTTTCCATATAACACCCAGTGCTCATCCCCACAAGTGCCCTCCTCCATGCCCATCCCCCCCCCACATCCATCAGTCCTCAGTTTTTGTCAGCATTCAAGAGTCTCTCATGGTTTGCCTCTCTCCCTTTCCCCCACCATTTCTCCCCTTCTCCTCCCCCATGGTCCTCCGTTAAGTTCCTCCTAATCTTCCTATACGTGCTAACATATGGTATCTGTCCGTCTCTGCCTGACTTATTTTGCTCAGCAGAACACCCTCACGTTCCATCCATGTTGCTATACATGGCCAGATTTCATTCTTTCTCACTGCCATGTAGTATTCCATCGTATAGCTAAACCACATCTTCTTGATCCATTGGTCCGTTGATGGACACTTAGGCTCTTTCCATGTTTTAGCTATTGTGGAGAGTGCTGCTATGAACATTGGGGTACATGTGCCCCTATGCATCAGCACTCCTGTATCCCTTGAGTAAATTCCTAGCAGTGCTATTGCTGGGTCCTAGGGGAGTTCTATTGTTAATATTTTGAGGAACCTGCACACTGTTTTCCAGAGGGGCTGTACCAGTTTACATTCCCACCAACAGTAAATACACATATTTTTTAAAAAAAATTCTAATGTTTATTTTTGAGAGAGAGAGAGCGCGCACAAGTCAAGAAGGGGCAGAGAGAGAGAAGACATGGAATCTGAAGCAGGTTCTAGGCTCCAAGCTGTCAGCACAGAGCCCATCGTGGGGCTGGAACCCACAAACCATGAAATCATGACCTGAGCTGAAGTCAGATGCTTAACCAACTGAGCCACCCAGGTGTCCTTTTGTAAATACATATTTAAACCTCTCTGATTAGTCATCCTGAGGAGTTAATTTGACACAAACACTTCCATAATATAGTGTCTTATCAAAGGTTTCCCTTTCCTGCTGTTTTGATAAATACTAGGCAATTTTGAAAAGAAAGCATTTTATTTTAAATATTTACTGATTTTGAAGTAGTTCCTTCTGCCTCTGTTTGCTTACTGAATTATTGCAGTGCAGCTAGAAGTCAGCAATGATACCTGGTATTTTGTGTGAAGCATTTAAAAGATATGGTTAGTTACAAAATGTCATATTAAGTTAAAAAAAAAAAAACTATAGGCCCTACTATTTACAGAGGATTATGGGAGTAAACAGCGTCTCTGCTTACATTTAGAAACACCGAGTCCAGAGGTGGAGAGTGCCCTGAAACCACTGTGAGAACCCAGTTCTAAGAAATATCTATCAAGGGTTTGGCCTGTTCCCTAGACAGGACATCACTATCACAATTTAGATTGTAGCAGATTAGTTCTTACTCATAAAATGAACCAAAATTTTATTTTTTTCAGGTACATATTTTTGTCTGTGTTTACTATCATTTCATTTCTTTATTTATTAAAAATTTGTTTTGAAGTTTATTTATTTTGATAGAGAGAGAGCAGGGGAGTGGCAAAGAGAGGAGAGAGAATACCGAGCAGGCTCCGCACTGTCAGGGTGGAGCCTGACATGGAGCTTGAACTCATGAACTGTGAGATCGTGACCTGAGCCAAGATCAAGAGTTGGACACTTAACTGACTGAGCCACCCAGGCACCCCTTATTTATTTATTTTTAATAAGATTTTATTTTTAAGTAATCACTTCATGCAATGTCAGTCTTGAGCTTAATACCCCCAGATCAAGGGTCACGTTCTCCACTGACTGAGCCAGCCAGGTGCCCCTACAGTTATTTTTAATATTATATTACAGAGTCATAGTATATCTACAAGTGAGATAATAAGCTATCTAGTCAGAATACAGCTAATAACCAGAACAAGCCCATGCATCATTCACACTGAACTTGAAATTGAATGGGAACTTCAGTGGCCCTTATCACATTTCTGTTATCAATACCCATGTTTACCATTGATCCCAGGGACAGGGTCTTCAAGCCTTTGTATGTTACCCATAACAGCTTACTCTTTTTTTTTTTTTTTTGGTTTGTGGTATGTTTTTATTTTTTTATTTTATTTTTTTTTTTACAAATAGTTTATTGTCAAATTAGTTTCCACATAACACCCAGTGCTCATCCCAACAAGTGCCCTCCTCCATGCCCATCTCCCCTCCCCCCTACATCCATCAGTTCTCAGTGTTTGTCAGCATTCAAGAATCTCTCATGGTTTGCCTCTCTCCCTTTCCCCCACCATTTCCCCCCTTCTTCTCCCCCTTGTTCCTCAGTTAAGTTCCTCCTAATCCTTCTACACGTGCAAACATATGATATTTGTCCCTCTCTGCCTGACTTATTTCACTCAGCAGAACACCCTCAAGGTCCATCCGTGTTGCTACACATGGCCAGATTTCATTGTTTCTCATTGCCATGTAGTATTCCATGGTATAGATAAACCACATCTTCTTGATCCATTCGTCCGTGGATGGACACTTAGGCTCTTTCCATGTTTTTGCTATTGTTGAGAGTGCTGCTTTGAACATTGGGGTACATGTGCTTCTTTGCTTCAGCATTTCTGTTTCCCTTGGGTAAATTCCTAGCAGTGCTATTGCTGGGTCATAGGGGAGTTCTGTTGTTAGTTTTTTGAGGAACCTCCACACTGTTTTCCAGAGGGGCTGTACCAGTTTACATTCCCACCAACAGTGTAAGAGGGTGCCCGTTTCTCCACATCCTCGCCAGCATCTCGTGTTCTCTGATTTGCTCATTTTAGCCACTCTGACTGGTGTGAGGTGGTATCTCAGTGTCGCATAACAGCTTACTCTTAAGGTGTAAGTTTATAAGGTGTGGCCTCAGCCATCTCTCTGAAATGAGAGACCATAGCTGGCATCTTCGTTAGGAGCTTAGTTAATGGCAAACACTTTGTTATTATGGACTACATTATGCCATCTGTGGTTGTTGAACTTTACCATATACAATTTTGTTTTGAGATGCATGGGATGAGCATTAAATAGAAGTCCTTCTCACCAAGCCTCTGTGGTCTAGTAGAAGAAGGTCAAGGTTGAGAAATAGAAGGTGCGGATTCTTATACAGCTACTGCTGGTCCTAGGGCAAGGTACTTAAGTATACCTCAGTTTTAAGGATAATACCGTTCTGCCACGGCCATTATGAGAATCAAATTAGATGACATTTATTAAAGTGTTTTGGAAGTAAAATGATGTCATCCCTAAATGAGAGAAGGTATTTGGGGTTTAAGATATTTATTTTCCTTTTTCCTGTTCTGATTATTTTAGTGTGCTTTACTCTGTAGAAAGTCTGGAGTGTCCGACTACTACGCTTTGGATGATACTCATGCCCTTCACATAACTAGGAAGATTGTGAGGAATCTGAATTATCAGAAGAAATTGGATGTGAGTTGGTTATGTTTCTCCTATCTTTTATTTTCTTGAAAAGCATTTTGACTTATGTTACCCTGAATAATGTCTTTAAACAGGTTAATGTGGTTGCTTTATGTTTCTGCAGGTGTCCATTGAGCCTTCGGAAGATCCTTTGTTTCCTGCTGATGAATTGTATGGAATAGTTGGTGTTAACCTTAAGAGGAACTTTGATATCCGAGAGGTGTGTGGAGTGGAGCTGTGAGCTGTAAACCATGCTGTCAATCTCTTTATATCCATTTTTAAGGCTGCAGTCTGTTTAGATAGGTTGGTGCCTTAGAGCCTATTATAGATCTCAGCAGGGAGGGACATAGACAGGAAAGATCTCTTACTAGGAGAGAGGCAGATCAAAGTCCTCTTAATGGTTGGAAAGCTTTCATTGCACAGTCATGAAGCTTGCTTTGTTCAAAAATAGGACTCACTATTCCTGTAGACCTTCGGAATGATGTAGGCAACCTCATAATTTTCAGCTCTTTCTTTTTAGTGTTCTTATTTTGGGAAGTGGATGCAATGTCAGCAAGTTGTTGAACAGAAAAAAACATACTGTTTTAGATCAATATGACATTAGCAGAGATTAGACTTTTGGTTACAGTTGAAGACGCTGCTGTGATTACAGATTTGACATGGTCTTCTTTGGTCTAGATGGACAATTTTTAGTGCTTGCATATAGCATGTAGTCTTTTATTTTGTTCACTCTCTGACAATGTTTTTTAAATTAGGGAATTGTCTTTTTTTTTTTTTAATTAGGAAATTATCTTACTATCAGGTTCTGTGCCTTAATATTTGTTAGTTTTCCGCTTGACTATATCCATTTAGCAGTTGATGGACATTTGGGCTCTCTCCATATCTTGGCTAGTGTTGATAATACTGCAATCAACTTTGGGGTGCCTCTGCCCCTCAACTCAGTATTTTTGTATCCTTTGGATAAATACCTAGTAGTGTGATTGTTTGGTCATACGGTAGTTTTACTTCTAGCTTTTTTGAGGACCCTCCATACTGTTCTCCAGAGTTGCTGTACCAGTTTGCATTCCTACCAACAGTGTAAGAGCATGCCCCTTATCTTTTTATTTTTCTTTAAACCAGATGAGAAAAGTGAGGCTTAGAGGACTTAAGGTAGCCAGCCTGTGACTCTAGTTTCTCAGCTGTAGAGCCAGGGGTCAGGGCTGGTTCTTCCTCTCAGCACTATTTTCTTAGGTTCATCACATCCTCACAACTTTGTCCCACCTTTGCAGAGGCAAGAACTGAGACTCCCTCCAGGACATGCAATTCCTGTGTTAACCCTTAGGTTGGAGCCCAAGTCTCCTGACTCTGAGTCCAATATCATGCTTTGTGGTTGAATCCTTAACTCTCAGCCGATAGTTTTGACTTAGAGCTCCTGAAGCTCTGAGTCAAGCGTGCAGCCCTTACAGTCTATCTGCGTCTCTGCTTTGTAACATGATGCTGCCACTCAGACCGTGCAGCATAAAACCAGGGCCCAGAATGACTTCAGGGTACCAACCATGCATATAAAGTTAAATTCTAGTGAGAAGGCTTGCTGGCTAGGGTGAAATTCTGTGGAAGTAATAACTTAGCCATGAATTTGTTTTCCTTCTGACTAACTTTAATGCAAAAATTCTTTTGTAATGTAATATCTCAGGAACACTGTTATTTTTCTTCTTAGGTCATTGCTAGAATCGTGGATGGAAGCAGATTCAATGAGTTCAAAGCCTTATATGGAGACACATTGGTTACAGGTATAAAGGCAAAGAATTGAAAATATTAACATTTTCTTTTTTCTTTCTTTTTTAAAAAGATTTTATTAAAAAAATTTTTTTAATGTTTATTTTGGAGAGAAAGAGAGAGACAGATTGTGAGTGGGGGAAGGGCAGAGAGAGGGAGACACAGAATCAAAGCAGGCTCTAGGCTCTGAGCTGTCAGCTTATAGCCCAACATGGGGCTCAAACTCACAGACCGAGCTGTGAGATCATGAGCCACCCAGGCGCCCCCTTAAAGATTTTATTTTTAGCAATCTCCACACCCACCGTGGGGCTTGAAGTCACTATCCGGAGATCAAGAGTCACATGCTCTGTGGACTGAGCCAGCCAGGTGCCCCTGAACATTTTCTATTACTTTGAAAATAAGTGATTTTGATCTCAAGGTATTGATGTACTTGGCATGAGCTTTGTTATTTAGAGCATTACAAGTGTGTGGGTCTGTATTCAAAAGCTGTCATTTTGTGAAGATACTGGTAGCTGAACAGCTTCATAGATCCAGAGAGTTTATGGTGATGATGGCTGGATGCTGTGGGAGAGGACCTTGTCTGTGACTTGGTGGAATTCACTGTATAAAAACTTGTTATCACAGTAAAATTAGCGGGAATATTTGTAGTTCTTTTTGTTTGGATAATTTGTGATTGTTTTGAAAATTTCAGCACTGTTTCCTTGGTTCTTTAGTCTCTAATTCAACTAGGAGGTTTTATATGATATCCTTCCTAGAAGGGCCTTCTCATAGCCTCTGTGTGGGTCTAACATCGAATTGTGCACACACTAGTCTGAGAATACAGGACAGAAAACCAATTTTGAAAAAACAAATAAGTCTTTATAAAAGTTCATTCATTCATCTAAAGTGTTAAGTTTTAGGCTTTGGAAGAACAGTATTTGAAACATAGATGCTAGACCCATAATAATCTATCTTGGACAAATGGCAAAACTAATTCTCTGAATTTTGCTTGGTCTTGTGAAAGCCACAAAATGTAAGTAATTTGAAGACAATATATCAGAGTGGAAAAAAAATAACTACAGAAATCCAAATTGTGAATCTGTGGTGGAGGTTTAAGGATAAATCACAACACTTTCTCCTGGTGTGACTTATGAGCAATAAAAGGGTTCACGCCGGGAGTGGAATTTATGTTTTTGTATTGAGGTGTTTAAGTGATTAAGAGACTTTTGTTTGATATATAGACAGGATTTGTGGCCACATAGTTCCGGATATAACCCTCACTGTGCAGCGGTTTAAAACAAGTCAGAGTTGTTTCTGCTTCTTTTCCAAAGATGGATGGGCTGTCCTTGTTCTCTGTTTCTTGTCGTCTGTTTTTACCAGTTTGCCCCTTTCTTGCTGAAAGACCTGCGGTACCTTTGTCCCCTAGAATACTGAGGATATATGTAATTCCTCTGTTTGGAATTCAGATTAGATTGGGGAAAGTGAAGGGGCAGTGAGAAGGAGAAGAGGGGACTGAACGGAGGGTAGTGATAGCAGGAAGTACTGGGGGAGGAAGAACAGGTTTTCCCGAGGATCAGGTGCCCCAGCAGCTCCTGAGAGTTCCCTCCTGCCCCTGCACTCGCCTTAGTACGCCCTAGTAGTTTCTTGGACCTTTTGCTTTCCTGTTTGGCGCGAAGAAAGGCACTTCATCCATGGCCCTGATATAGTGGGGCATGTGCCCTACTTCACAGGTCCTGTGCCTGGAGATCCCAAGCCAGGCTCAGGATGGGTTGAAGATCGAAATAGCTCACACAGGGCAGTGCACCTTAGGGGCAGCACCACACTGCCGAGGGCTGTGCCAGTTCCTAGCTGCTTTGTGGGGTGGGGCACTTAGAGTGGACTGCTAGGCCTTTGGGGAAGGTCACCCCTTTGTACTATCTCTGTAAGCGGCATTGCCATTTACAGAACGCAGCATAGGCCTTTGGCTGGGGTTTTAGGACTGAAAGACCAAGAAAATCCAGACAAGGCCAGACTAAAGAACAAAGACACATTTTTAAAAATTCAGTGTTCTGCAATATCAGCAGGTTGATGTTCTCTCTTATCCATTAATTTTCCTTCAGCAATTTTTCGAGCACTTGCTTTGTGCCACGTACCACACACTGGACCTCTCAATGTCAGCCCGTGGATCCTTGAGCGTGAAGACAGAGCCGGGCCCGGGCACTTTGGGAGTGTGCTTTCTTTTTGACCCACATCAGCAAGCACTGTTTTTGACTCTTGGGTTCCACGTGTTTGATACCTATTTAGAGTCCTAATTTGGCTTATTGAAATTCACTCTTGGGAAGATCTCTGTGGCCATGTTTTTCAGGTTTACAAAGCCTCCTGAAATTCCCCTCAGGTGTCTCCCTCACATACTAATCGTTTTCCCCCTTCTTCTCTCTTGCTTCTCCTGTGTGTATGGAGACAGGGTGTTTGCAGAGGTCGTGGGGCTGGTGGTGAGGAATAAAGGAAGCTTTTAGAGGAAATGAAAGTGCAGTGGTTCGTTGTTCTTCTAAGCTTAGCTGGATTTTTCACTTTAAACTACTCAGTGACCACCGGGCTTGCCTGTGCTGCCACTTTTGAAAGCAAGATGGACTGGGTGTTATATGTAAGCCAGTCTGACAATAAATTATATTAAAAAAACAAGAAAGAAAGTTGGCCTTTCCTGAGTTCATACCCTTCACCTCGAGGGCCTCTCCTTGCCACAGGCATTTGCAGGCAAGCCGGTCACCTGAGACTGGCAGATAGCTCCGAACATAGGCCCTTAAGGGCTCTCCACCTGTGATCTATTCCATTTCAGAATGTCCTCTCTCTGGTACTTAGTAGGAACTCAGACATGTGTTACACGAATGAATGGGCAATACCTTACCCTCATCATTGAACCAAACCAACCAGTCAGACAAGTCATAACTTGACATATAATACACTCTTTTCAAGGAAGCAAAAAACCCAGACTCTCTAGTACCTTAGAAAGAAGAAATTGTGACATGAGCTATTCTGTACCCTAGACAGAATCTCCATGTTAAAAATTTTTTTTAATGTTTTTATTTATTTCTGAAAGAGAGAGAGACAGCATGAGCAAGGGAGGGTCAGAGAGAGAGGGAGGTACAGAATCTGAAGCAGCCTCCAGGCTCTGAGCTGGCTGTGAGCACAGAGCCCGACGTGGGGCTTAAACCCACCAACTGTGGGATCATGACCTGAGCCGAAGCCAGACACTTAACCGACTGAGCCACCCAGATGCCCCAGAATCTCCACATTTTAAACTTTGATTTGAAATTAAAGAATGTATAACTGTCTGTTGGCTGTGAATTAAAACCCCTCTGAAACACATAAATCTTTTTTCAATTTTCTTTTGAGGATTTGCTAGAATATTTGGATACCCTATAGGTATCATTGGAAATAATGGAGTTCTCTTTTCTGAATCTGCAAAAAAGGCAAGTACATGTTTCAGAATTTTCTGTTTTAATTTAAACTTTGAAGGTCAAGTAATGAATGGAAGTTTATTGCATAAAAGCTTTAAGATATTTAACCAGATGCCTCCGTAGGCAGAATACTGTATGTGCATGTGAGCGTGTGTATGTATCTGTGTGTTAGTGTTTTTGAAGAATGCTGTGTGTATTGCATGTGAGCGTGTGTATGTGTGTGTGTGTGTTAGTGTTTGAACCTCTTTGTATGGGGGTTTACATTAACATGTTTTATCTAGAGCATTATTTAAAAAATGAAATGTTTTAAGAAAGTTTTTATAAGACACTTGAATTATAAGTGCAATGGATGACATGTATGTATCCTAAGACTGTAAGAATACTTGTCTTAAAAGTCTTTATGTTGTTTTCTTTTTTAATTTTTATTAGAAATCTTTTAATGTTTATTAATTTTGAGAGAGAGAGCTCAAGCAGGGGAACAGCAGAGAGAGAGAGAGAGAGAGAGAGAGAGAGAGACTCCCAAGTAGGCCCTGTGCTACCAACATGGGGCTCTATTTTATGAACCATGAGATCATGACCTGAGCTGAAATCGAGAGTTGGATGGTTAACTGACTGAGCCACCCAGGCATCTCTCTGTTTTCTTTTAAGGTGGAAAACTAAGGAATTAAAGTGAGGCTCAGGAATTCCCACTGCCAAGCACTTCTCTTAGTTTCTTGAGTTTCGCTTGCTGTTCAGAATATTAGTGATTGACTTCATCCCAACAGCTGTGTGCCAGTGACCACACACGTGACTGCAAACAGATGCGGTACCAACCATAGTCGCACATCCCATTGGCCATGGGTCCACATGGTAGTAGTATCGTTACTGTTAGTATAAGCTTAAACTAGCCAAACACAGGGTACACTTCCTTATCACTGACCCAGGCACGGTGTTGGTAGGATGCATGATGACTATAGATTTGTTCACCCCTGCTTTAAAAAGATTATCTCATTTGCTTATAGGGGGCTCACTTCATCCAGCTCTGCTGCCAAAGGAATATTCCTCTGCTGTTCCTTCAAAACATTACCGGTAAGAAAATAGCTTAATCAGTTTTGTTGCGTTATTCCAGAGCTCACTCTCCAGTAGGACAAAGGTATTGGACAGTGTCGACATAAAGCACTTCCATTATAGCAGTAAGTTCTATTGGATACTCTTTGTAGAGTCTCTTCAAGGGTTAACACTTCATGAATGTAAAATGAGAAGTTTATCCATATTTGGATAAAGCAGTTTCTCAGTTACATGTATCACAGTCAGAGGGCCTCCCTTTACTCCTTCGCCTACCCCACCCCCATCCCCCCCCAGAAGGGCTGTGTTCTCTGCCAGTAACACTGATCTCACTACCAGAGAGTGTTGTCTGACCCATCATCTCTTTCCTAGCACTTTGTTTTCCATAAAGGATTTCAAACACATGCTCTTCTCCTCCCTTTTCCTCGTCTTTTTTGTGTAGTTAATTTTCCCTGAAGTGGCCCAGTAGAAGAGGTATATGTACATCCTGAACAATAGTCTGGGGATTTGAGTTTGGACTCCAGAGAATGGTATGATCAGTATCACCTCTCTGGATTTCATGTTTCACAGACGATCTTAATAGGGTGGGTGAAATGATTTCTAAAGTCTTTTATGGTTGTAGGCTTCTTTTTCCTAGAATTCTCTGATTCTGTTATTTATCTTGTTTGTGGCACAGTGCCTAAACTATAGGGGGCACTTAGAGATGGTGGTTAGCTGAACCCCCCCCCTCCTGTCTTCTAAGTGATCCCTGGTGATCTCAAGCTCAAATGAAGGAGGGCTCTTAATTAGTCATTAGAATCAGGTGAGCCTTCACAAGAAAAAGGAGTTTGGCTCCTGCTAGTCAGCAGGGCTTTAAATAGTACTGGTGCTAAAACATCTTTATTTGGTTGCCCTTAAATTTATGATAGTTTGTTAGGTGAATTTTGAGAGACATTATGTCCAGACAGCAGCCTGAGAGGCTGTGTGTGGCAAATGTTGTGGAAGGGCAGATGAAAAGGATTCTGAAGCTTAAGGAGACCTTGTTTCTAATATTGTTTGATGGTTTATTAAGCACCAGAAAGTTAAACCTTGTTTTTGGAAGATATACCTACATTTCTGTTCTTTGGTTTTTGGGTTGGGTTGGTGGCAGAGTGCAGAGGTTGAATTTGATTTTGCAACCTTGCATTTGAGGGGCTTGTGTGACGTCCATGAAGGTGCACATACAAAAGGCTGGTGAAGAAATCTTTTTTTTTTATTAAATATTTTTCAAATATTTATTTTTGGGGAGACAGAGACAGTGTGAGTGGGGGAGGGGTAGAGAGAGAAGGAGATACAGAATCGGAAGCAGGCTCTGGGCTCTGAGCTGTCAGCACAGAGCCTGATGTGGGGCCCCGAACCCACAGACCGCGAGATCATGACTTGAGCTGAAGTCAGACGTTTAACTGACTGAGCCACCCAGGCACCTCAGCAGTTGAATAAGTCTTGAAGACAGAGGACGTGTGTTGGCTGCGTATAAAAATATAGGCATCCTCAGAATGTGTAGGTGTTATAACAGCGTGGGAAGAGATGAGAACACCCCCAGAAGAAGAGGGCTCAGGGACAGTCTTTGACGAACTCTGATTTCTCCCAAAGAGAGGAGAAGAAGGAAGGGAGTATGATTATGTTTTTTATGCTGGAAAGGATTGGGAGAAAGACAACTGAGGTGGCATAATCTTTTTTTTAATGTTTATTTTATTTATTTTGAGAGAGAGAGAGAGAGTGAGTGAGTGAGGGAGAGGGAGAGTGAGACAGAGAATCCCAGGCAGGCCCTGTGCTGTCAGCATGACCCGTGAGATCATACCGAGGTGCCCTATGGTATAATCTTTTTGAAGGCAGAATCCTCTCCAGGGAATAGAGAAGCGGTGGGATGCTGTGTGAGGGACTGAAGCCTGAAGATAGCTGATACTTGAGCTAGCTCTTGTGGAATATTTCAGGGAGTCCAAGGCGAGGCAGGAAGAGGCACTCTGAGCTATTGAGAGGGCCCTGTTCAGCGGGGTCCCAGGGAGGCACCGCATGCCTGCCGAGGGCTGTATCCGCAGAGTGTACAGCTGTCCCATAAAAACTGAGTGGAATCGGATGGCTCAATTGCTGGGGACTCGAAAAGCAAAAACAGTGCCAACCAGTTACGCAAGTGAGTGGACGGGTGGGGAGGGAGACACGTGAAGCCTGGCTTGAGTTTTGGGAGGTGAGGAGGAAGCAGTCTCCGCATGGCTGGGGGCCTGTGGAAGCACAAGATCTCTGCATCTGCCATGAACAATTTTTCCTCCCTAGGATGGAGTCACTGGCAGGGGCGCTTAGCATCTCTGAAACATTTACCTTTATTTCATCTAAGTTTTAAAGCAGCGTTTCGGAAGGAACAGTTTATATAAACCAGGTCAGGAAGTACTGAAGCCCTGGTAGTTCGGCTCACCACAGCACTTCATCCTGAGCTTGCTGGGTCGCAGTCTTTCATCACCGAGCTGCTGTCCATGGAGAATTTTTGACAGCAAATTCCTGGCATCCTAGTCTTGTTTGAAGATGTATGCATCCACATGAACCATTTTAAGGAAAATTTTAGAAGTGATCAGCAATTTTATTTTATCCATTTTTTAAAAATTATTTTTAAATTTTTTTTTTTTTTTTGAGAGAGAGAAAGAAAGAGACAGAGTGTGAGCAGGGGAGAGGCAGAGGGAGAGGGAGACACAGAATCTGAATCAGGCTCCAAGGCTCTGAACTGTCAGCACAGAGCCCATGAGCTGTCAGCACAGAGCGCGATGCAGGGCTCAAACTCACAAACTGTGAGATCATGACCTGAGCCGAAGTTGGACACTTAACCAACTGAGCCACCCAGATGCCCCTTATTTTATTTTTTCCAGCAAACTTTTTGGGTGTGTATATTTCACATGTAAATATTGTATTATAGTGAGAGGCTCTGTAGTAATAGTTTGACAAGATGTTGGATTTGACTTCTGCACATAAATCCCATCACATGCAGAGGCTCTTTTTTCCATTCTTTTTCTTAGGATTTATGGTTGGCAGAGACTATGAGGCTGAGGGAATTGCCAAGGATGGTGCGAAGATGGTGGCTGCTGTGGCCTGCGCCAATGTGCCTAAGATAACTGTCATCATTGGGGGTTCCTACGGGGCTGGAAACTATGGGATGTGTGGCAGAGCATACAGGTAGGTGGTTTTCATGGTCTTCTCCGGAGAAAGAATCATGCTTCAAGTATATTTTACAGATGGTCACTTTGTTACAGGTTTATTTGAAACATAGAATGGCATTCACAAATTTTGATCAGTTATATCATAATTTGTATCATCTGGAGGAGCGAAATGAAATTTTAAGGCTAAACATGCTGCTTGGAAAAAACCCACACCAGGAATCAGAATATTTTGCAGTGGCTCATAATGAAAATACTAGATGTCATAACTTACGTGATGCAGCTAAAGTCTTGCTTGAGGAAGGCGTGTACTAGACGTACACATATATAGACTGGAAAAGAAAGTAAGGCTGAAAATCAGTGAGCCAGGCAGCCAGCTCAAGAGGTGCAAAGGAGAACAACAGCCTGTTAATCACAAGAAAAATGGAGAACAGGATGTAATAAAGAGCAAACATAAAGATAAAAGAATCAGGAAAGCCCAGACTCGTTTTGTTTACAAAGGTTAACAAATTTGATCATCTCCTAGTAAAACTAAAAAATAAAGCAGAAAGGCTTTATATCAGGAATGGAAAACACAACATGACTGCAGGTAGTAAGGGGATATTGTGGGTATTTTTATGCCCAGTAAATTGACATGAAACGGACAAATAACATTTATCAAAACTGGCGTCAGAATCACCTAGAGAACTTAAAACTCCAGCCACACTCAGGACACACCTCTGGAGATTCGTCTGGGGTAGGTTCCGAACGTTTTTTAATAAAATGCCGTTGGAATGCACAGCTGGAATAAAGAACCACTATTTTAGGAGGTGAACACGGGCCTGTGAAAACCTCTGTGTTGTACTGTGGATTAATTTGATCATTTTTTCTCCTCCCTCACAGCCCAAGATTCCTCTACCTGTGGCCAAATGCTCGCATCTCAGTGATGGGAGGAGAGCAGGCAGCCAATGTGTTGGCCACAGTAGCAAAGGACCAAAGAACACGTGAAGGGAAACAGGTAAATGCCGTTTCTTCTCTGTCTCTGGGTTTGGCTCAGCCAGGGGTGGGCGTGCCCAGAACCCCTCAGTGTTCGCGGATTAGGGACTGGCTTCATTTAGAAGATGCTGACTTCCAGCAATTTGGACTTACAGATGCTCTCTCTTTTTATTTATTTTATTAAAATTTTTTTTAATGTTGATTATTTATTTTTGAGAGATAGAGACAGTACGAGTCAGGGAGGGTGCAGAGAGAGAGGGAGACACGGAATCCAAAGACAGGCTCTAGGCTCTGAGCTGTCAGCACAAAGCCCAGTGCAGGACTTGAACCCACAAACTGTGAAATCATGACCTGAGCCGAAGTCAGATGCTCAACCAACTGAGCCACCCAGGCACCCCTCTGTCTCTCTTTTTAGAGCTACTTTATTTGAGGTTGCTTCTTGTAATTTTTTCAGAATTTCCAAGAAATTTTCCAGAAACTTTGCCTTGTGAGTGTCTGATGCATAAGGAATTTTGGTTCGTAGTCATTTGCAGTTAGTGAGATTTAAATAAATCCAACTTACTTCTTTGATTGTATGACCTAAAGCAGCAGAATTTTGTTTTTTCCATTTTATCTCTTAGATTGTCCTTGAGTGGGAGGGCCCAGTCATCTAACTGAGAATTGAGTAACATTATTATACTGTGCACACATAAATGAAGAAAAACAGAGAGGTCAATGGAAGCTTGATGAAGGCAAATCAGCAAGTGGCTGCATTTAGTGTTGCTGCAGGTTAATAGGAGGTACTTTAAGGGATTGTTTTTTAGGTATCGACAGCAGCATCACACAAAAGGTACTGACTGAGTACTCCACAGGGTACAGCGTGTTCCCATGCTCCTTAGAAAGTTTATGTGACTTGGAGAAAATGTGGTTATTGCCCCTTGAGGAGCTGACAGTCTGGGGGCAGAGAGCTTATAGTCTAAGGGTTGGGTGAACAAGGCAGTAATTTATTAAGACAAATTCTTCTTTGCAGGTAGTTGTTAAAATGGATTCTTTTGTTTGTGTCTCAGAGATTTTTCTGAAGTTGTGCATTAATTTTTATTAGTTACAACTACTTTGTATAAGCCCCCAAGCCTTAAAATGACTGATGCATGCTCCTGGGATTGTTTATGTGATCTGTTTTATCATGACAGGGCCCAACATGGAGAAAGCCCTGCCTTCTAGGACTGGCCCTCCTTTCTGCTAGTTAGGATCATCTGGTCAACCTCCTAGCTTGGGGAATGGGGCTAAGATAAGTATGAAGGGTAGGTGTTGCCTCCCTAAATGCATCCCACCCATGCCCCACAGCCTCAGTTACCTTTTCCAAGCAGCAGGAACTCTGCAGACTTAAACTGAAGTTTCATATTCATTTCAGTACTGACTAGTATCCAAGCGAAATGAGAGGTTTATTCATGTGTGTGTGCATGTGTGCGTGTTAGGCATCAGAGGTGAAATTCTATCTGATATTTTGAAGACCTGTCTTAAACCCTAGCCCAGTATGGGCTTATTTATTAATAAATAAACTATTTATTAAATAGTTGTTCTTTGATTGATATACAAATATATGAATTCATCCATTTTTATATACCAAAGGAAAGTATAGGATTTTAGTGGTTCTGTCTCCAAATTCTTGACATATAAATGATATCGAATTATGAAAGTACATAAAAGAAGATTGGATTTATTTGAAATAAGTCATTTGTTTTTGGTGTGAAATACTTGTTAAATTGAAAATACTTTCCAGGGTTTCAAAATTAGTTTGCATAAAGATTTTTGCAACTGAATTCATTATCACTTGTTTCTGGCAATACTGGTGGGCAAGTCACTAAATTTTTAATTAGCAAAAAATACCTCTCAGCTATTTGGGTTTATTCAAGTTGTGGTTGATGTTTCACCCCTTTAAACTTTAAAATTTTTTAAAGTTGGCTATTTTGAATGAAAATGAAATTCCCTATGGGGCACCTGGATGGCTCAGTTGGTTAAGTGTACAACTCTTGGTTTCAGCTCAGGTCATGATCTCATGGTCGTGAGATGGAGCCCCTGCTCTGGGGCACTGACATGTGGAGCTTGCTTGGGATCCTCTCCCTTCTCTCTGCCCCTCCCCACCACCCTCTCTTTCAAAAACAAGAAAATCTTCTACTTGTATGCTTTCAACAGAAGCTGCTAAATATAAGATTGCCCTTTTGTTACATTTCACATCCCCTGTTGGGTCCTGCTAGAATACTCGATCTTCTTGGGTTTTTTTTTCAACTTTATTTACTAATTTTGAGACTGGAATGAGGGGGGAGGGCAGGGGAGGGCCAGAGAGAGGGAGACAGAGAATCCCAAGCAGTATCTGCACTGTCTGCGCGGAGCCCAGTGAGGGGCTCCATCTCACAAACCATGAGGTCACGACCCGAGCCAAAATCAAGAGTCAGATGCACAAGCGACTGAGCCATCCAGGCGCCCCGTGATCCCCTTCGTTTTGAACCTTACACTAAACCGCCTCAGGATGTTGTCTCTGACAAGGCAGATGTAGTGGTGCGCCAGTTTGGCGCTCATGTCTCAGGTGAGATCATTATGTGCTAGAGCTTCCCTTGTCATCTGTATACAGCACTGTGCAGATGTTGGTTGTAACATTCTTACTCATGAAACGCTTACCCCTTTTTTCTTGAGGTTTTCTTGAGTGGATCTGTTGCTGTAGTGCAGTGGACTTACTCATGGTCCCTTTTCTTTCAGTTCTCCAGTGCTGATGAAGCAGCTTTAAAAGAGCCCATCATTAAGAGGTTTGAAGAGGAAGGAAACCCTTACTATTCCAGTGCAAGGTGGGAGCCAGCCTGACGGGTGCATCTGGGCTGTCAGGGCAGCAGCTTTTTGGAGATACGGGCAGTTGGGTTGGTCTGACCTTCCTGGGAACCAGAAAATAATGGGCACATAATTTTGTATTGTTGTCTTTACAGTGGGCTTACCTGCTGCTGAAATCCCACCCCTTCCCCCAGGCTGGGCTGTGGATCCACTACCATTGGTCAGATTCCACAACGCTCCACCCTTCTTCCTTCTCTTTTTTTTAATGTTTATTTTATCTTTGAGAGAGAGTATGAGCAAGCGAGCATGAGTTGGGGAGGGGCAGAGAGAGAGAGAGAAACACAGGATCAGAGGCAGGCTCCTGGCTCTGAGCTCTCAGCACAGACCCGACACAGGACTTGAACTCACCAACTGCAAGATCATGACGTCAGCCAAAGTCGGCGCTTAACCGACTGAGCCACCCAGGTGCCCCCTTCCTTCTCTTCACTTCTAAATGAGGTGTCTGGGCCTGCAGGGGCTGAGAAGTTAAGAGTTATAATCCTGGCTGTATCATTTTCAGGAATTCATTCTTTTATAATTTTTGCTTAAAAACGTGAATTCCTGCCATACCCTGTATTTGATTATTTTGTTTTTACCCCCATTTTTTAAACATGACTTTGGCTGAGCACATTTTGACAGCTGCTAACAAGTGTGCTTGTGCACTGAGGAGGTGATTACTCACAGCCAGGGTCTGTGTGTTCACACCAAGTAATCACCTCACCTACCATTGCAACTCTTGGTTCTGTTTGTTTCTTAGACCCTTTAATGAGGTCATAAATCATGGTGCCTGTCCCGCCTGCAGACTGGCTGGCATGTGTGTGTTCAGGCCTCTGCTTTCAGCAACTTTAATGTTTTTCATTCTGAAGAATAATCTAAGCTTCATATCTTCCTTTTATCCCTTGGGCATATGGGATAAAGAAAATAACTATTTGTGTCTTTTAAAATTAGGTTAGGGTGTGATTTATGTCCTTTACTGGGGAAGGCAAACTGGAGAGGAAGGAGAAAAGAAAATAACAAATTAGAATCCATTTCAGTCATCTGAACACATCTTTTGTGGCGGGGACTGCTCCTGGCACTGGTCGTACAAAGGCTGAAGATACTTATTTTCAAGAGCATATAATTAGTTTCAGAATGAAAATGATACCATTTGGCATTTTTAAAAGCCTGTTTCTCTTCTTGTTCATATGTATTTTTATAAGCCGATTTGCAGGGATATTCTGTTGTGGGTCATTGATTCATTTAATTAAGATGAAAATATTTTAAAGCCTTTGAGACGTAAACATGTTCTTTTTACCATCACTTAAACAGACTTACACAGTAGCCAGTAGAAGCAAAGAGCAACAGAAAACCCTAAAAAAGGTTTAAGAGAAAATAGTACGTTTTAAGCTCACATACGGTTTTTTTGTTTTTGTTTCTACATAAGATTTTGAGTGAAATTCACAAGGACAGTTGAAATATTAAACTTTGAAAAATAGCGTATCTTGCATGAGCCATTCATTGCTTTTGCAGCCCTGGCTAAGTCATCTCTTGAGAAAGGCTGAATCCCTTCTTATTTTCATACTTGCATTAGTATTGTTATTTTAATGGGCTGTCTTCAGGGCAGGGGAGCAAATGGCCCAGATACATAAAGAGTGAAAGACACTAAGGGTTTTTATTACTGTCAATGTGTAGATGCTTAGCCCAGTGTTGAGACACTTGGTGGCATGGAGACGACAGTTTTCTTTCCAAGATGAAAGGATGTTCAAGCCAGTTCATGGCACCTTCCTTAGGTTTCACGAATCTCAGCCTAACAGTAAACTTCTGTGGTCTGTTTGGGCTCTACCATGGTTGGCTCTGACTTTTCAGAGGGCTCTTTCATTATCTGCAACCGTGGATAATGACATTGTGTGTTTCTCTCAGTCCTTCGTGTTACCTGTGCGGCTTGCCAGTTTCTTCTGCTCAGTTCTTATAATCAAAACTTTTTCAGACATTCGGTTAGGACCTCTTACCTAGAGCGCTCTTGTTAATGACCGTCATGAAGCAGGCCTGGGTCGCTGTGCTTGCTGCTTTACTCTGCTGTCGGCATCAGGAGGGAGTGTAATCATTTGACCTGGTTACACACGACAAGAGCAGCCTCTCCTTATTGGCTGTTGCTACTTCAGGGTCCCCAGTATGAATGTTTTATGAGCAAAGATTTGATTCATGGTCTGTCAATGTAAGGATGGTTTAATAATTGATGCTATTGTCCAGATACTGAAGGCAGTTTGTTTAAAGAAAGCCAAACCTCCACCTACTAATGACCTTTAAACAACAGGATTTCTCATTCATCTTTCTTGAGAAAACTGAGGTTGTCAGTGAAAAGCAAACAGATTTGTACTTCAGGGTTTCTTTTGAAAGCATCTTAAAGCTATGACTTATTTTCCTATTGTAGCAAAAGACAAAGAACTTACGTTGAAGGTACTTTAATAAAGTATAGTGACGTCTATTCAGTAGTTTTCCTAGTTTCTTAACAGTTTGGGAGTTTGGGGGAATACACCTTTTCCAGTAGAGACTTTGGTTTGAGATTATTACCTGGGTTCATGTGTCTCTCTCCATATTAGTAACAGGAACACCATCAACTCGTATATTTATATGGGCAGAAGAAGAACAGGAAATATTTTCCTGAAATATGCTAAAGCATTTGAAAATCAAGGATTAATTTGAGGTTTCTTGAAGCAGTTCCCAAAACTATAACCTCATTCTGACATTCTTTAAGGGCCTGGGATGAAAGTCCTGTCATTTTTCTTTCTCTCTTTTCCCTACCTTTGACCATGGTTTCGGTTGTGAGAATGTAGTACCCAGAAACTCATGGGTGGATCCCCATAAGCATTTCTGGGAGCAAATTGTATAAATGGTGGTTTGATGGTAGATTCCTAATAAGTTTTGTTTTGTTCTTTTATCAGGCTGTGGGATGACGGGATTATTGATCCCGCGGACACCAGACTGGTCCTGGGTCTCAGTCTTAGCGCAGCCCTCAACGCGCCAGTCCAGAAGACTGACTTCGGCGTCTTCAGGATGTAACTGGGATATAAAGCATCTTCCATTGGACACGTACCAAAACTAAGATACTAGTAGCCTTAACATTTTAGACTTTTCCAACATGTGGCTATTACAGTAAAATTGTTTTCTTAACACAGTACATCGTACTTTTCTACCTTAAACAAAAATCAGTGAAGATATGTATCTGATGAATTTCAATTCCTTGTCCATTTTCTTCAACAAATTTTTCATGCCATTACCACCATCCATCTCCAGAGCTTTTCATCATTCCAAACAGAAACTCCATTATTAAATAGTAATTCCCCATCCCCTCTCTCTCCGCCCCTGGCGCTCTTCTCATTCTTCTTCTTCTTCTTTTTTTTTTTTTTTTGTTTTTATTTATTTTTTGAGAGCATGAGTAGGGGGAGGGGCAGAGAGAGGGAGACACAGAATCCGAAGCAGACTCCAGGCTCTGAGGGTGTCGGCCCGGAGCCCAGCACAGAGCTCAAAACTCACCGACCGTGAGATCGTGACCTGAGCGGTAGTCGGACACTTAACTGACTGAGCCACGCAGGTGCTCCTGCTCATTCTTAAATACATGTGTTACTCATGGTTTGGTTTATTCTTTCTCAGTCATTTCAGCCCTTCTTAGGGCTTAAGAAGCCATCTAAATGCAGATGATTTGTGTGTTAACATTGTTTTCCCTGAGCTCTAGACCTGTGTATCTTATGGGTCTACCGAATGTCTGCACTGATGGTCTTTTAGGAACCTCACATTCAGTCATCAAGGTCAATTGATTTTGCCTCCTCACTCTCTCTTGAGTTCCCCATTGTCTTTGTCTTTCACTACCAAGGGCCATAGAAGTGGTCTGCCTGCTTCCAGTCTTTGCTTGTCCTGCGTCTCCATCGCTGGGAGGCGGGAATGACCATTCTGAGTGCACACCTGGTCGTGCTGCTACCCTGCTTCAGGGTGTCCCAGTTTCCTGTCAAAGTGCCAGACCGCTCATGCCCTCCACGATCATGATCATCACGTCCCCTCTTCCGTCACATCTTCTTGACTCTTCCCCACCCTCGGTGCTCCAGCTCTTCTAGACTTCTCGTTCCTTGAACCTACACGGCCCTTCCCACATTAGGGTCCACCACCTAATGTTGGCTCTGCCTGTACTTTCTGAAACACCCTTTGTGACTTCTCTGTGCTGGGTTAAACACTATGTGCTCTTGTAAAGCACCAACCATTTTTTCTATCCTAGGTATTTATGAGAAACATAAATGTTTCTTTAATATTGCCTTCTTGCTAGCATGTAAGCTCTCTGAGAGCAAGGATTTCCTGTGTAATCTGCATCTCCAATCCCTAGCACTTGGAGATGCTCACGTGTTTATTGAATGTATGAAAAATCCTTATTTTAAATGATAATCTCAGGCCACATTAAAATTAAGTGACCAATGAAATGATCTAATACGACTATCAAATGCTTTCCTAATAAAATTAATGTTTCAAACATTGTGTGTGATGTTCAATTTAGGCAGCATTTGTGTATCAGAAGTCAGTTTAATTTTTTGAGATGTATATAGAAAAATGTGTAATTGTTGCACTTATTTAAATAAAGTCGCATTTGGGGCACCTGGGTGGCTTAGTCGGTTAAGCGTCCGACTTTTGCTTAGGTCATCATCTCGCGGTTCATGGGTTTGAGCCCCGCGTTGGGCTCTGTGCTGACTGCCAGCTCAGAGCCTGGAGCCTATTTCAGAGTCTGTATCTCCCTCTCTCTCTCTCTCTGACCCTCCCCTGCTCACGCTGTCTCTCTCTCTCTCCTAGAAATAAATAAAAATATAAACAAAAATAACTTTAAATAAAGTTGCATTTTAAATAAGTAAAGATAAGTAGGTTGCATTTTGGGGGCATCTGGATGGTTCATTTGGTTGAGTGTCTGACCTCGCTTGGTCATGATCTCATAGTTTGTGGGTTTGAACCCCACGTCGGGCTCTGCAGACAGCTAGAAGCCTGGAGCCTGCTTCAGGTTCTGTGTCTCCTCTCTCTGCTTCCTCATTCATGCTCTCGCTGTCTCTCAAAAATAAACATTAAAAAAAAAAAAGTAGGTTGCATTTTCAGAAGGGTGTTGGAGGAGGTCCCCGAGGACGTGACTGACCGCTGGTTCGCCTGCTTAGCAGACCCGGCAGCGGGAGGCTCCGCAAGCCCTCCCTTCCCATGGAACAGCCGTCCTTGCGCACTGTTCAGTAGTGTTCGTCTTTCCCAGAGCACAGCCCTTAGAGAGAGTGAGGCGTTGTTGAGACCATCTGAACCCAATGAGGGCCTCTTTATAAACAAGGCTCTGGCACGTCGGTGCTGAGATGCCCCGGTGTTGTGACGGGTGCTGACCACCCCCCAGGAGCACATCACCTCACCTACCAGCGGGGCTTGGCCTCTTCTCTCAGACCTCAGCCTCCCTCTTCTGGGGCTGGTTTTTGAACCAACAAAGGAACACGGTAAGTATTTTAAAATAGTAAATTATATTTTTAGTTAAAATTTATGTCCATGTCAGGAAACAAAAACAATTTTTTTTTAAATCAAGAATAGGTAAGGTTTCTTTGCAAGGAACCATCAAGAAGTCAACGATTGATGGTCTTTTTAGGAGAGTTTTTGCCTCTAAAAAAATCCCAGTCATCACTCATGCCACACTTAAAATGATTAAATGATGTTGCATAGTTTATCCAGTAAAAAAACAGTCTTACCCAAAACAAGCAGCAGTTTTTGTCTGCCTCTTACTAGCTTTACAGACACAATTGACATAATGTGTAAGTTTCAGGTGTACAGCAGGATGACTTTTTTTTTCTTTTTTAAAGTTTTTAATTACTTATTTTAAGAGTGGGGGATGGGCAGGGAGTGCAGGAGAGAGAGAATCACAAGCAGGCTCCAGACAGCAGGATGACTTAATACACATACTGTGAAATGATTACCACAGTATGGTTACTTAACACATTCACCTCACGTAACTTTTTTTTGTAGGGAGAATATATTTGTTTTTCTCCACTTCAGTTATAAATAAGACCAGCTAGGATAATATGAGTAACTCAGAATTTTAAGAAATATACAGCTAATTAATCTCTAAATTAGCCCTCTGTGTACTTGCTTCAAGAATAAAAGAGACAAAAGTATTTTTCACTTCTCAAGAAAAAACTTCAAATTAGAATTTGTCAAACTTTGTTTTTTACACGACCAGAAGGTATTATTGTTGAATGTTGTTGAATGTGCTAGTGAGAAATGTACCATTTTGGGGAGAGGTCACATAGTCCTTGTTAATTCTGAAATGTGGTTATTGGTGTTCTGGATGGTTGTTTACTGTTCTGGCCAAAGCCAATTCTTACAAATCTTTTAATTATTGGTTCCGAAATTAAGTACTTAGAACTAACGGCAGGAACATGATCTAGATAATCATTGCCTCTGGTTATTTACAACAGTTCTCTCTAAATGTTAGAAATTAAATGCAATCACTAATAATGACAGGTTCTTACTGTTTTGACAAAAAGTCGACCCCAAAACACTTAAATATATATATATTTTTTCATTTAATGTGCCTCAAATCCTCTTGCATCTGAAATCAGAATGTTAAGGATCAAGCTGCTCTTGGAGCTAAATGAAATTTCTCTGCACCTCTGACTTATCTAGACAAATGTACATTCTGGGGGAGGTTTGCACTCAAGCTAATTGATGATCCACTCTGGGACGCTTGAGAGGGAACCAGCCTCTACTAGTAACAACATGGGAAACAGGTGTGAGCAGATGGGGACGTGTGCTTGTTCTCTCTGTAGTTCATTATCATGAACCCAGTAACTAAGGCTACCTGTTTTGATACTTACAAGCCATTGTTCCAGATGCCTGTAACTTTTGTTATTATGTAACTTTTTGGTGGCTGAAAACAATACAAGTTCATTCTGTTAGAGTTGCGGGGGTCAGAAGTTTAAAATCCAGGGACGCCAGGGTGGCTCCATTGGTTTAGTGTGTGACTTCAGGTCATGATCTTGTTGCAGGATTCTCACACAGAGAGTCTTGACACCGAGGCTTTTCTTTTCAGGAAGCAACTTTATTCGTGCCGGCATCGCTCAGTTGGGTTTGTGCCCAAAAGTATTGAGCGGTCCACATTACAGGGCATAGTTTTTTTTTTTAATGCATTTTCTGTTTCTTTGTCTCCCATATATGGTAACACACATAAACATGCAGTCTGATTAAGTTGTCTCAGTTTAGAAGGCCATGGGGAATGTAGGCACCTAGGCGCGTATCTAGGTGACCTTGAAGTTTTTTTCTCTTTTTCTCTCTCCTTAGGGAAGGGTCCATACCACAGTCTCACCACTGTGGGTTTGAGCCCAGGGTCATGCTCTGTGCTGATGGCTCAGAGCTTCGAGTCAGCTTCGGATTCCATGTCTTCCCCTCTCTCTGCACCTCTCTGGCTTGCTCTCTGTTTCTCAAAAATAAATGTTAAAAAAGTTTAAAATCCAAGTGGAAACAGGACTGCATTTCACTCTGGAGGCTTTGAGGGGAAAGGCCCTTGCCTTTTTCAGCTTGTAGAGGCTGCCTGCCTGCTTTGTAACTCTTATTTATTTAAAATAATTTTAATTTTTTTAATGTTTATATTTTTGAAAGACAGCACACGGAGGAGGGGCAGATAGAGAGGGAGACACAGAATCTGAATCAGGCTCCAGACTCTGAGCTGTTGGCACAGACTGGAATCTACTAACCAGAGATCATGACCTGAGCTGGAGTCGGATGCTTAACTGACTGAGCCACCCAGGCGGCTCTGCTTTGTCATTTTAACACAGATTTCAGTATGATGACAACCACCTCTGTGTTAGCATTCTAGAGAGGCATTTAATTGACCCAAGAGGAGAGTTTACCACAAGGCAGAAGTTTTGTTTTCTGTAGCACCCAGCATTTCAACATGTCTGGTGGCTTTTTCTTTCACAAAGGTGACCCAAATCACAGGTTTGTGAAACTCCTTACATTAAGAGAGAGAAGTGTCTGGATTTAACATAGTGATTTGGAACATAGTGATTTAACAGAACTGACTGAAGAAAAAACATGACCAGAGGTACTTGTTAGAAATAAGCTGTAGAAGTTTAGTTTGTAATTCAGCAAGTATTGATTGTTATAAGTGAACAGGTACAGTTTGGGAATATTTGGGCTAATATCAAGAGGTTTCTGTAGGAAATGTATTTTACATTTTT